TCACCATATAATGCATTATCAGAATTTATTGCATTTTTATTGTTGTATTCTAACATCTCGATTTGTTAAATTGATAAATACCTATTTAAGTTATTATCATGCTATTGGGTTTACATYGACATTTTGCTCAAGCAGAGATCTTATCAGGCAGTTGCACTGATAGGCTGATGATCTGTCTGATAAGCTGAAAAAGGTTTAGTAATTTTGTGCTTAATCACTACTGTAACAAAATAGAAAAGTATGTTTAAAGGYATCAAAATAGATGCATAAGGACAAAAAACTGATGGATAAGTTGGAACACCACAATAAGGGGKGGCCTAGTTAAATTAAAAAAATGTGACTTGTACTGCATACTTGACAGAAAATAAGATTGCTCTTCTCATCTTTTAGCAATAACCAAAACTTAGTCTCACTTCCCCCAACTTTAATTCCACACAGAGAGTTTTAGGTCATACAAGTTTCTTATCTGTGTTTATCACACATGTAAACTGAACCCAGCTGACATTTGTTCCCTTTGCTGTGCAGAGCAATGCTAACTGTTACGTGGGACTTTTCTGTTTTTAAAGCRGGTGGAAACGTGACAGAGGAAGTGTTTGCTTCTCTGCGTCGAAACGCTGAAACCACACGCCAGGTTCCTGTAGATCGTGTGCATTTGGGGATCCCTGCTACAGTTACATACTAAAAACATTTTCCTCCACTTGGTCTCATTTCGTTGTTTCAGGGGGGGGGGGGTCTTGATTTAGTAATGCTTTCTTGAATAGCTGTGAATTGTTTACTCATAGTTCTTTTTTTGTAGGTGTATGAGTTCGTGTAAATTTGAGGGAATTTCACAAAACGGTTTATTGTAACAGTGTTTAATCATATGCAAGAGCAAAAAGTACATACGATATTTGAGGTACAAAATAAATAAATAGTCTTCTTTATTAACATCTTAAATAGTATTTACATGGCTCTAAAAATGTACTGTACTTGCTGAGCCAGATTAAAAAAAAAGAAAGAAAAACATGTGTTATGCCCTTTTGAGTTTGTAAAATCAGTAAAACATAGTAAATGAGGATTCCATTATAAATACTGTTATTTTGCCCTACTTTAAAATTTAGGTTTCAGTAAAAATATCTAAAAAAAAAAACTAAGTGTGAGTGGGAGGTAAATCAGATAAACTGGTGAAGTTATGACATGTTCAAATGAGCTTCAAAAGCAACAAACCATTTACTCTCAATTCTCGATATGTCAGTTTCACTGCCTGTGTAGTCATTTTAGGTCATCTGTAAAAATTTACSAACTGATCTGGTTTTAATAAAGTCTAAAGTATTTTCTTACAATGTTCAGCTTTCTTCTCGCAGTTACATTGTTTTCCTTCTTTTCTTTAGATTTCTGAGTATTTTCAGAAACACTGAGTGTGACGTTTAGGACCAGTTGTGTCAGTGAGGTTTTAAAAATAGTGTTGTTGCATTCCTCAACGCATTAGTCAGCTATCAGCTCTACGTCACAGAGCGAGAGGGAGACGTTCATATTAAAGTCATGTTCGCACTTATTTAAAGGCAGAGATGTCAGCAGCGGAAACCTCTCTAAATCATTTATATTGACAGTGTCCACGTGTGTTTTACTATCATAAGGTAAAAATGCATCTTTGCTTCCAAAAGAGTTTGTCAAGTCACTTCTGCTGGCCATCAGTCTGTTTTCAAAGCACACAGCTCTGTARTGTTTTGGGACTTCACTCCCAAAAGGGGTGTATTTGTGGCACCAGCTGCACTGGCCGGCTCCTGAACAGATACAGGACTGAGGCACAGCTCTGTAYCCACTCAACATTTCGGCTAAAATGGAGCGAGCAGGAATGTCCTCGCTGTCGCCGACCTGGATTTGCACCTCGGAGGGGCTCTGCCTGCGATAATTTCCCACACTGACAGTTTTCATAAGAGGCTCGCTGTCCTGACCTTCCAGGTTCAAAGACGAAGAATCAAGATGGCAGCTCATGCCCATCCCGCTGTCTTCTCGCTTCCTTCCTTCATCTGTTTCCATCATGTCCTCCTGCGGGGGGTAATTTATCTGGCTGTCAGAGGAGCTCTCTGATCCCCCCATGCTCCCACAACCGCTGTCTTCATGTCTGGCTGGGGGCTTTTCTTCACTTTCTGTAGCGGAGTCTACCTCTATGCTGAGCCCACTGTCAAAGCTGGTCTTCCTGCTTTCCTCCTTGCTGTCCTCCAATTCCGTATCGTTTCTCGCGGGGAGTTTCAGAGTGTTGTCCACCTCTGTCCTGTAGCTGGAAAGAAACCATCCCTTGTCTGTGACCGCCTCCATGATTTCTTCTGGCACAGAAAGTGGATGCCAGCCGCTCACAAGAGATTTCTAATGCAAGGAAGACAAAAACAAATAAACATTACATACAACCTTTGATTCATCCATGTGAAAATAATATAAAAAATGACACATTTCTATCCAACTTTAAGATCAGATTGGACTTATTTCCCTTTTTTCTTTTCACATTAAAGTTAAGCTTCATGACATTCTAATTTCTGTGCTTACCAGTGCTGTGGGTTTTTTCGCAGGGCGTCTTAGATAACACAAGATAATGCTTGCCATAAAGACAACGACAGTCACGAGTCCCAGAAGAGATAAAGATGATACAGCAATTATATAGAACTCTGGAATAAAAGCAAAATGACATCAGTATGAAGCTGCTGAGATGCTGGAGAGGTTAGATTGTATCAGTTTATTTTTCTTGTTTAATTTATTTTTAGGCTTGAAGTAGTTCAGATCTTTTGAAGTGGAGTTCTTTAGAAAAGTTGTAAACACCTGTTGTAGAAAACTGTAAATACAGTAGCTTCAGACTGAAGAAACAGAGTTGTTCTTTTAGTTATTATCTCATTGATAAACTAATGCCTAGTCAAACCAGGGTACACTTTATGTGATTCCATGGTTGTTTAAAACCTTAGCAGCAGCAGCAAACTATAGAGCTTTCATAGCAGCCAAYGGCCCTTTTGTAGGGATATTATGGTAATTCTACCAAAGTAGCCATGTAATGTAAAATTGACAGTGATATAAAAGATTTTTAAACAATGTTTGAATGAACTATTATGAAATTTGTTAGACTGAAATCCATTTTAGTATTTGAGCTGTTAGCTTATCTTTTCAGTCAGAATCAAACTTCCAAAACCAGGGGTCATTCTAAGAGATAAATGCAACGGATAATAGAGTTATCATTCATAACCTTCCCATAGAACTCAACCTTAAAAGATCTCAAGAGTTTATAATTCTACAGTGGCGGATCCAGMATTTTTCTGAGTAAGGGGTCAAGGGGCCAAAATATTCATTGAGGGGCCAAGTATTTTCAGCATCCTTGCATTTAAATCCCTGGTTTTTGTAAGGTGTATACATTTTACTAGCCTGGTTAAAACCAGACCCTGTCCTTCACTTTGCTTCGTACAAGGGTCTGGACTTGCTGCATAGAGAAGTGATTCTTGCAGGAGGTGTGGCCTCTGCTGAAGCATGTGTGTGTTGTCGGTGTGAAGGAGGCTAAGCTAAGAAGCTAACCGGATCGCGTGTGCTGTAAACAACCCTACTGAGAGGAGAAATATACTGAGCCGAACGAGACGACTGTAAATAAGCGCTGCTGCTTTGTCAGACAAATTTAATTTAATCTGGAAGCCTTATCAACACGGACTGGCTTCATTCTCTTCCTCCACTGCCGTATGCTAAACTAACTAGCAGACACTGCAGAACATCGARGTCATTCAAAACTCCTCCTTCTGTTTGCTGATTGGCCCAGGTAAAATAAACTACAAGCAGACACTGCGCAGAAAATTGACGTTCTCTTCTGATTGGCCCGACTAAAAATCTGCCAGCAAAATCCTTGTCAATGGGAGAAGTCCCAGACYGAGCAGTGAAGGGAAACTAGAATTGAGCGGAGCTGCATAGGAAGCCAAAGGCCAGGCTAACATTTTACCAGTAATATGTTCAAACACTTATAATGTAATGTCATTATAAAAAGCTTGAACAGTAAACTATCCTTTACATGTATTTTTACTGTACATAGATAAATTGCTCTCAAACACACAGCAAATGAAAAAAAGTGCAGCCATAATTTGTCAGATGAAAGACTTTTTCTGCAAGATTGTTCAGATTTTCTTAAGAAGAGAAGAATTCTGTAAGACTGATTCATGCTGGACTTTCCTATTTGACTCATTAGCGCCACTAGTGTTTGGACATGGAACTGCAMCCATCATCATCYCTCTCAGGCAAAGGACAGATAAGTGACAYGACAGGGGCACTTCAGGGGGCCAATCAGATTTCAGCTGGGGCCAATGCCCCAGTAGCCCTGCCCCTAGAACCACCCCAAGTTTTATGGGAATTAGAAGTTGATTTGAGCAACTTCAGTAGGTCTTGGAAACATATTTTTAACTTTTCAATTAGTTAACTGATGGTATCTTATGTTTGTGTGTAATTAATCTTGTTGGCCTGTTTGGGTTTCTTACCTTGCTCTGGGAGGAGCAGACACTGTTGGTCAGACACATGACTCGCAGAAAGACCTCCATTAGKTTCTACTTTGATGCTGACGCAGTACTCTCTTCCCCATTGGAGACCAGTGAGAGTTTTTGTCCTCTGATCCACCTGGCCATCATCTTTCAGGTAAATTTTTGTCGTCTGAAGATGAAAAACAATGGTTACAGCATGAGACACAATTAACATTTCTCTAAAATGTCCCAGTTTTTTATCGTGCAAAGTGTGCATTGAAGCCAACTCACCTTATTTTCTTGTCCTATTTCTTCAATGTACATGGTGTAAGTGACTCCAAATGGGAAAAGTGTTTTCAGAATGGGTTTCTCTTGCACATGAACTGTCAAAGTGCTGGACGTTGCCCACAAAGAGAAGGAGGGAGGAAGCAATTTACCTAGAAATAAAGAATGATGATAAGAATTCAGCAACCATTACACGACTAAATCATGTTTCACAGACACCAAACTGAAATACTTACTTTGATTTGGATAAAATCTTTTATGTATCCAAATGGAGCTGTTTTCTCCTTTCACTAGCTGAACTCTGACCTTGTAGGCGGTGCTGTAGTCTTGAATAAAGCTGGTCAGGTGGCAATAGGTCTTTGTGCTTTTACTGCAGCTGGTAACCTCCGCCCATAAATCAATGTATCTAAAAGGAAGAGAACTCACTAGTTATTAAAGAGTTTGACTGCATTCTGAATTTTAACACATTTTACTGCAACTGTCCAAACATTGGAAGCAAAAGGGGAAGGTGGTTTGCTGGACAGAATTTTTTAAAATGATAACAAATTAAAGGGTAATAGGAATGACTACATTTGGGAAGAAGTGGGCTTACTGATATGTAAACTTACTTTGACATTTCTACATTATACACAAAATCAGAGGGGGCGTTCACAGGYTTTTCCCAAAAAACTGTCACCTCCCCGTCTGATATGTTCACTTCCAGATTCTCAGGCGGGGGGATGTTCGTTCCTATGACAAAAAAAGAAAAAAAAAACTTTTTGTGCCATCTGCTCTTACACAATCATTTCAATTTCCTCAAATTTTAAACAGTCCTTTGCTTGACATGACAAGAAAATAAACATTGCAACAATCTGATAGTTAATCTAAATTAAGTAAGGTTATATTCTGGTATGGGTATATTTTAAATACTTCTCCAAAAAGTMGTCAAAAAATGAAAAGGAAGTTATGTTACCAAAAGCTGATGTACGCATGTAAATGATTTGTGGGATATATAAGGTCAACAGGAACTAACCCATTTTCATATGTGAAAATTAATTATCAATTTGTATGAGAAAAACTTATATGTATTATAT